TCAAACACTTCAGTGTGCCAAAAAGTAATACACAAAAATTAAGGGTAAAAAGAAAATTGAAAAAAACACTTGTCACAAATGGCAGAAAAAGACCCTAAGGCCTTGACAGAAAAACAGGGGAAAGGAAATTGACAGATCATAGCTGAGGAAATATAAAAAGGCAAGCAGCTTGGAAAATGTGTTCAAAGTACCAGTAATCAAAGAAACGCAGAGTGAAACAACTCTAAGACCTGAATGCAAACCTAGGACCATGAATCTTCTAAGTGAAAGCACAGGAGAATACCTGCAAAAGTGGTGGGAAAATTACTGAGTTTCCATCTAGGTACGTCCATGGTGCTGGCGTCCTGACTCCTCCGTGCCCTAAGGGCCGAGGTTGCCTCTCTGGTGGTGGTGGGTGGGGAGCAAGATGGGAGACGGGGCCTCCCAGAGGGGAGGCTGGGGAGGGTGCCTAGAGGAGATGCTACAGAAGGTTCACCCAGGTCGGCCAGGCAGGAGCGGGAGAGGATTCCCAGGCGCAAGGGGCACAGGTGCAGTGGCACGGAATACTGTGTGCTCAGGGAACCACCAGCACTGCCTCGCTGCTGAAGCATGACAAGCAAAGCAGTGAGTGGCTGGAGATAAATTTGGAGAGGCAGGCGGTGGTCGGATGATAAATGGCGCTCTATCCCATGCTAATAAGCCTAGAATCTATTCTTTGAGCAATGAGAATTTCTATATGGGCAGGAATTAGGGGTGGCAATCTGGTTAGAAGAGGGGTTGGGGTGAGTCTGCAGGCAGTGTGTAAAACATAAGCACTTTGGGGCGCCAAAGGTGACTCTGGGGGAATCGAGGCTCGCTGCCCAGGCCCGCTGTGGCACCTTCTCCGAGGAGCCTCTGACGGGTTTCAGGCAGCGAGGCCATTCGCTGTGTCAGGTGGATGCTGAGAGCTCCTGCTGGTGGCTCCATGGAGCGGGGGTCAGAGGAGGCCAAACGGATGGGTCAGTGTGATGGGCATGGCGGGCAGCCAGGGCTGGCCGGGAGGCAGAAGGCCAGCGGGTTAGAAACAATTTACGGGGTAAACCCACCAGGATGTACTGATTTATTTGTAGGGGCAGGGGATGACAAGGGAATCTAGGGTGATTTTCACGTTTCTAACCTGAAAAAGGAACCCC